GACTTTAGTTTTCAGGCAATAAATTGAAGAGAATTCTGCAGACATACAACAGAAAAGGAGCATAAAATATTGGCTTGTGCACTTCTTAGAATGTTAGTTCATTAACTTGATAAGCTGCACAGGGAAAAATGCAGCCAAAATCTACAAAGATGTCCACTGGGATTTCACATTGGCATATTTACTCAGCAAGAAATAGCAAGAGGTTGGAGGGGGAAATATGCATCCCGTCCTGGTAGAGACGATTTAGTGTGAATCTCCGGGAAGACACCTTGTTGAAAAATCTCCATGTGGCCTCTACGGGGACACACGGAAGCCCAAAGCCCCGAGGACAGACGTAAATATCATGTTCCATCATCTGTGTCCTGGGGAACAGGTCTACAATATTATACAAGAAAATCAGTCTTTCACTTCGACTTTTCACACATAATTCAGCATAAACTTGAAAAATATTTTAATTTTCCCTCCTTATTGCCCAAAATGATTTTTAGTGCTTTATTGGAAACTTTCATTCACTGGCCTGTGCTCAAGATCTGTATTACTCATCAGTATAAAATCGTTAACAAAGGATTTGTCAGGCGATACTTCCAATGGGCACTGTCTTCCATGGTTAGAAGCTCATTAGCTGTCTCTCTGGGAGAAAACCCTAATAACTGAACCCCATGTGGGTCAGATCTGTGCTAGCTCTTTCATAAACTTCATCTTATTTGAACCATCCAGGAGGGTACTAATTGTAATCCCCACTTACAGATTAAAAAGGTGAGGGTCAGAGAGAGTCCCTGCCTTACTCAAGTAATTACATAGTCTCAAACTAAGGTATTTCAGACAAAAGAAAGAACTCAGGACAAAGGCACTAAACTGCCATCTCTCTTTGGTGGGTCGCGTTGGGCCAGCTCTTTATTTACAGTAGGAACAGAGCGCCAGGCTGTGCAAGAGATGCTACACACCAGGGGTCCGTTCACCTGCACGTGTGCTTCACCGGATCCACGGAGTGTTTAAAGCCATTGAAACCAACTTTCTAAAATCCACAGATTTCATGTAAAGATTCACATGTTATGGCAACCAGAAAGCCTCTGGACCAGGGGTGGGCAAACTTTTTGACTCGAGGGCCACAATGGGTTCTTAAACTGGACCGGAGGGCCAGAACAAAAGCACGGATGGAGTGTTTGTGTGAACTAATATAAATTCAAAGTAAACATCATTACATAAAAGGGTACGGTCTTTTTTTTTTTTTAGTTTTATTCATTTCAAATGGCCCGGATCCGGCCTGCGGGCCATAGTTTGCCCATGGCTGCTCTGGACTCTAGGGCCACCTTCATGGCAGCAGTCAGCCAAAACTCGGTGGTCCCATGCCTTTAATGAGGCATGGACTCACAGTGCCCACCACTCTCTATTACATCCCTACACACAAGCCATGGCAGCAGCAATTTTTGATTAGTTTTACGTTCTTGCTTTCCTTATAAAGGAGAACCATTTCTCCAAAGCATGTCTCTTTCGACAGACCGCATGGCTGTCTTGCCCCTTTACTATGTCCTCTTTGTGGGAAGAGTGCACTTCCCCAATCCTGAATCTCCAATTCTCATACCAACTGGTTGAATCTCTTCAATCTTCCTTTGGGACACAATCCAAAAGCCATTATCGTTTCCGGCAATGCTCAGCCTTAGATTTTTCTGGATGTAATATCTATTTGGCTGAATCATGAAGTCAGAGTATCCAACCATTACAAAATACTGGTGTAGAAAAAAACAAATTTTGTAAGTGCCAATCACACAACCATCAGCTAATCAACCAACCAATCAACCAACCAAGGAAACCAGATGCCAGGTGACTGAAACTTAAAGGGCTTAACAGGCCGACTTATAAACAGGAAGCACTTAAAACAACAGCAGTATAAAAAAAACGAAGTGCCCCCAGAAAGGAAAGTTCTGCCTTCAGAAGGCAGTAATTGCTGCATCTGAGTACATCTGCTTAACAATCCAGGAAAGTGGGAGTTTTACTCTCTATTAACCTTAACCAGAGACATTTTCATCAAAATTAATCGTGATTACTTTTTATTGCATTTCAAATGCTGTCCGTTATTTGGGGTGGTCAGGAATGCAACTAAGCAATTCCAGACCAGGCTATCTTTTATGAATAAGTCTATGAGGTAGTTACTAAGGCCCCTTATGAAAATATTGCTATACAAAAGTTCATGGGTCAAAACAAGACATTAATTTCCATAACTGGATGTGTCCTTAGAAAAGAAAAAATGACTATTTATAGAAAAAACAGAAACTTTAATGCTCAATGCATATCACAGCAGAACTGCATAATTTCCATGTGCAACATAGATACTTTTAAAATGTTTCTTTTATCTTTTCTTTGTTGTTATAATAACAATTAAAAATAGAAAAAGAAAAAATAAAAGAAAACAAAAAACACTCTATCATTAACACTTATTTTGAGGATAGCTTGTATCAAGTACAATCCTAAGTTTTTATATGCACTGACATTTTATTTTTATTTATTATTATTTTTTAATCCTCACCTGAGGATATGCTTATTGATTTTAGGGAGAGAAGAACACAGAGAGAGTGAGAGAGAAACATCATCTGAGTGAGTATATTGAGTGGTTGCTTTCCATATGGGCCCTGACCAGGAATCGAACCCGCAACCTAGGTATGTGCCCTGATGGGGAATGGACCCCACAACCTTTTAGTGTATATAGATGATGCTCCAACCAACTGAGTCACATGGGCCAGGGCTGCATTGACACTTTAATCCTCACAACTCTGGAGTAGATGCAATTATTATTCCCATTTTACAGATACACTGGTCTTAGGGAAGTTATGTAACCTGCCCAAGGACATTCAGCTAGTAAATTTTGAAACTTGGAATGAATTCTGGACAGTCTAGCTCCACAATTAGATAAAGAAATATAGCAACAACACTTATCTCACTGTCACAAGGATCAATTGGTCTGTTATGTTTTGTGCCCTGACTGTATCTTGCTCTGTGCAACCTGTGTACCTGCCTGGAGGTCCTTCCCTACTGCTCTCTCCCTCCCATGTCAAACTCATTCCATCTCAGTCCTACTTCACTCTAAAGTTTTCTTGCCCCCCTCTCTTAATTTTCCAGAACCCTCACCATATCCACAATCTCCCCATATGACACTGATATGAAAAAAAACCAAAGGTGGCTTTGGCTGCCCAGCACCCCTTTTGGTAACAGAACTCTCTTTCTTGTGGGAAATCACGTGTCCCCACTCTCAGCCCATGGGCTTTGGGTAAGGCTACCCCCTGTCCTCAAGATGAGGTCATCACATGACCTGATCCTGGCTTGGCCAATTCATGTGTTTTATCAGCCTTTGAACTTTGTCTAGAACTACTAAGAAAAGACTTTTCTCCTTCCCCTGGGGTGACAGCACTCACAGACTGTGTTGGCTGGTGGTGGCCATCATTGGCATCACTGTGAGAATCAAGGCAACGAAGAACAATGGCTACCTGTGAGTAGGATAAAGTCGGATTCCTGATGCTATAGTCTGCAACTAGGAGCCCTGACTAACCCAGTTGACATAAGAATTAGACAGCTTCTATAAAGTAAATAGCATAGAACCCAGTATATGGGGAAGTTTAATAAATGGTACCTAATCCTGTTAATACTTCTCTACATTAGATTCTTGAAGGTGGAAGACCTGGAGTCAGGTTCATCTCCACTCCATGCTAGATGTCATTTCATTACTTTTCTGAGACTAGTTTTACCATATGTAAAATCACCATTTTTGTGAAGAATAAATGAGACTGTGTGCCTGGCAAGGCAATAAAATGTTCTACAAATTTAAGTTAACTACTAGTATATTCTCAGTCTGTAGGCTCCAATCTGATGTCTCACAACCAATAGGGAAAAGAATTACAAAACCCTGGGATGTAATTTGCCAAGAACATTGAGGAAGCTGTGGATTTAAACAAGTGACCAGTCCATGCTAACTAAGGTGGCCCCAGGGCTGAACAAAGAAGCTGATTCTAATACTGTGCTATCCAAATCAGGCATCAGTGCAAGGAGGCTTGACTGGCAATCTTCAGGTACCTCCCGGACACAGAGAGAAAAGAAACTACTACTAAGTCATCCCCTCATGCCAGTCTCAGTGCAGGGCATGTTCTTGCATTTCTTACTCCAGAATAATTTATTTCTCTTTGGTTCAATTAAAAAGAACAATTTTATGTACATATTGAAATTATCTAACTTCTTCTATCTCCAAGGAGGAAACCTAATATATAACTGGAGAGAGACATTAATTAATAAGCAAAATTTAAAATGAACTCCAGCCAACTTGAACTTGAACTGCTCTGTTTAAAGGCCCACAAATAAATAAAGGAACTTCAAAGCAAATGCCCTGGGCTAGCTTGAATGTTTTATTGAGCACATGGAAAGAGCCCCTTTGCCAAAAATAGGAATGGTTAATGAGGAAAAATGGGTGTCTTCAGTGGGTCCATTGGTTTCTGAGAGCCATCCATTCAGAGATAACTATATTCCACTGAGAAGACAGAATAATGACCTGTTTCAGGGCCTCAGAGTTTTAGGCAAAACAAAACCAGTTTTATAAACTCTCTGAGATCAAATTCCTGCATCTTTTCCCAAATACCTTCTGTGATAATAGGCACACATTTCCCTTCTCCTAAAACCAAAGCAACGTCCATAATTCTAAAAGGAAGACATTGCTACGTTTTAAGCTTCTTGCCAACTACATAAACGGAGCCCTTCACATTTAAGGTAAAGTATAAGAACCAAGAGAACCCGTGAAGCATCAGTGGGCTCCCCCATAATCGCTTTTCTTGGACACCATTTTGAAATGATGCTCCTCACTACAAACACCTCCAGGTCACCTGGGGGTACGTGGTTAGTGCTGGATTCAGGGCAGAGGCACGCCCACCGCTTCTGCGCACGTTTTCCCACAGTAGTGGCTACATGTCAGAGCAAGTGGACCTCCCACTATTCAGGCAAGAAGAGGAAAAGCCTGGGCTCACCTGCAGGTGCTGGGAGGGGTCCGCCATGCTATCTTCCCGCCTGCGCACTTCCTCCAGGAGCTGGGCATTCTTCTTCTTTTCCAGCTGCTGGTTGTGCTTGAGGTTGGCCACCTTCTTATTCTGATCCTTCATATGCCTGAGGAGAGTCAGCACAGCTGGGTTAATTCAACCCCTGCAAGGTCGTACGCGATCATAATGGAAACGCTAAGTACAGACCCGTATTGATATGGGTTCAGGGAGAGCTGGGACTTCAGAATATTCTATTTATTCAACCACACATGGGTATGGAGCACCTAGTTCATGCCAGGGACCAGGAGGGCACTGGGGCTGCAGTGGTGAATAAAACAGGGATAGTCTCCACCTTCCTCATGGAGCTTAGAGTCCAGTAGAGGAGACAGACAAATACCAAGGAGACACAACTTAGGTTTCCTAATGTTGAAGGAAACACAGAGCATGTTGTGAGAGATGATGTGCCTTGCATGTGTGGAAAGGCGGGGGGCAGAGCAGATGGCTTTAGTCACTGTGTCCAGGAAACCTCCCTAAGGAAACAAGACTGTGAGTGAGGCTCTGAAGAACCAGCCAAGAAAACACCTGGGAAGGAGCCCCCAGGTAGAGAGAACAGCAAGTATAATTCCCAAGGCAGTAAAGGACCTGGCTACTTTTAAGAACTAGAAGACTGCAGGGAGTAAGTAATGGGGTGGGGTGGGGTGGGGTGGGGTAGGCGATGGAACTGCAAAGGTAGGCAGGACTCATGGTATGCTGGGCCCTAAGGTCTGTGATGGAACATTTATTTTCTCCTAATTAAGTGCTTGCTGTTCTAATTATTATTATTCTTTTGGATCAGGTTCTATTCTGAGATCATAATCCATTACTTTGATTTTAAAATAACAATTACAAGGCTCCAATCAAATACATTGTCATCACTTAGCTCAAACAGAATAACACTTTGGCTAATCATCATGCTAAATAAGCCCCAGTGCTTGGACCAAAAAGTTCTCAATGAATCTATAGGATGTCAAAGTGCAAAATCATAAAGTGAGAGTAAAAGACTAAGGATAAAGGACGGGTTAAAACAAAGCAGGGGAGGGGGCAGTTACAGGCATAATGTGGCCTATTTCACCAGCAGCGTTTAGCGAAACATTCCACAGGTTTAGGCAACCATGTCCACGGCAGCTGTTATAAATCTAATCCAACATGTGAGGAGGCAGGAGGGCCGTCCAGAGGGCTCAGGAGCAGGGTTTCCAAAGTTGGAGGGCCGTGGAGCAGAGCCATCGGGGGAACTTTTAATCCCTTCGCCCACTCTCCCCTGCCTTGCTAATGGGCCACTGTTACTGAGTCCCGAGTCCCAAACAAGTGTATTGAGAACCACTTCTCTTATGGAAGTATGGGTGAGATGAGAACTAGATGATAAACAACAAACAGGCCCAAATGAAACAACTAATCATCAAATGGAAGCATTCTCAACAAGAAACTCTTATTTCTAGTGCTCATTAAATTATAGATTTGTCTACTTCCTCCTACTCCAAGAAAAAGAAATTCAAGAGAATTATTTATTGAGCTTAAAAATCATCTATTAGGGGCTCTGCTAATAAAAATATTCTGAACCAACTAAATATTTGGCTCAGTTGGTTCAGAATATTTATAAAACCAACAGACTCAGTGATTTAAATATTCCTTGTGATACTTATTAAGAGGATATAAGTATAGAAGGTAAGATAGAATAACCATCCCCTTCATCATTATTTGGATTGGATTATTTTGGTCTCATATTTCCCTGTTTTAACCAGATACAGTAATGTGCACATATGATGCTACCAGCAAAGTCTACATGCTAATCTACTTTTAGGAGAGTATCGTTTGGTTACTACAGAGATGTTAAGAATGACCACTTGCTTCCTAAATGAACAGAGGTATAGTCATTCCAAAGCGCATACTAACCCAGGGCAAGTACAATTCCTAGTTCCTTGGACGACAAGGCCAGTGCACGGTAATAGGACATGAGGGAGAGGTCAGTATTACTAGTGAGATTGTTTAATTAGAGGACATGTTTTATAAAGAAATACTTTTTTATTACTTTGAAGTACACCCTTAAATAGAACTAACTGCTAAATGTTTCCCCCCAAGTACCAGTGATAAATAAAACAGATTATAATTGCAAGCATCATTTTGCAAACATCACTTAAGGAACTCCCACAAAGTTCCCAAGAAGACCTTGCTTTCTGGGATACTGCAGGGGTTTTTCAATCCAAAAAGAAGAAAACATTCCAAATCCATGCACCCCTTAAAACGTTCCAGAATTAAGAATGAGCAGCAATCAACTCGTGCTATATAATTTAATACAGGAAAATATACAATTTTAGATGCACAGTTCAATGAGCTCTGACAGATGTATGATACCCATGTAATTACCACCATAATCAAGATATGGAGCCTTTGCATCACCCCATGAGTTTCCCTGTGCCCTTTCACAATTAACCCCCTGCCACCACCCAGGCTTGGCAACCACTAATCTGTTCCTATAGAATAATGGAACCACACAGTATGGCCCAATTTGTGTCTGCCTTATTTCACTCAGAATGATGTTTTGGTTATTACTGATTAACAATGCAGTTGTCAGTATCAGTAGGTAGTCCATTTTTGTTGCTGAGTAGTATTCCACACATGGTTATTCTACAGTTTGTTTAACCATTCATATGTTGATCAATATTTGGGGGTTTTACAGGTTTCTAGCTATTAAAGTAAAACTGCTATTAACACTAAAAAGAGAATAGAATGGGTAGCTAAGAACAATGGAAACTGAAGTTCAGACACTGTGATGGAGGCATATCTTCAGTCGTCTCCAACTATTCCTTCAAATACCACCTTATTTAAGGCACTAGCAATTGGAAAAGAAAAGTAGGGTTTTAAATGGCACAACTTAGGATTTGGGCCAATAAGATCTATGCAGAATAAGGTGATGAGGATGATCATCTTGTCTTTGCACATGTGAATATCAAGAGATGCATGTAAAGTGTCCATAACTCCTTGCTAGGATGACTAAGGTTTTCATATATTTTTCTAGCAATAGAACCCTTTCTTCTAAGAAAAGCTTACTTGAAAGCCAAAAAGAGAAAGAACAACTGCTCTGCCAGAGGTAGGAAGGAGGGAAGGAGTGGAGTGGGATGGGAAGAGATGAGCACCTCATCCACTGGACAGTTCCCCTCTCAGATGCTCCTCAGGGAAGCTAAGGTAAGCAGTGGGGTAGGAAGGGAGAGTAGGAGGCAGGTAGAAAAAGTCATAATGTTTAAAAATATTAGATCCCTTGGAGAAGAGAAAATACCCCTACATAAGCTCAGTAGACACTTGCTGAAGGAATCACCACAGTGCTTCTTGCTAATAGTAACTTCAGCATTTCCAAGAGTAAGATGTGTAAGTGGCCTATCAGTCCCCACACTTTCCCCACCTGCAGAAGTAAACACACACCGCGTAAGTCATGCCGCACTCCGCGTGGCTCTCAATGGTCTCTAAAACTCTGTGGGAGTGCAAGCCACCAGCCCTCTGACAGTACTGCCTGAGAAGAAAGTGTCTCTGATACCAGCTTCCCCAACTCCCACCCCCTCCCCCCAGGCAACTCAGGTTCCAAGACCACCAGAGACTGGCATGCTCCATGTCTGGGGGAAAAGTCATTTTGGAGTGATTTTTTTTTCTCTCTCCAGGAAAACAGCATTAAAATATATCAAAAATGCAAGTGTTTTTAAAAAGCAATCATGGGGGCGTGGTTTGAGAGTACAGTGGTATGGGCAGTTTTTAATGTTTGCCTTAAATTGACCAGTCTCATTAAGCAAGTCATGTCACTTTTCTTGTTTTTAATGTTTTTATTGATTTTAGAGAGAGAGGAAGGAAGAGGGAGAGACAGAAATAATGATGAGAGAGAAACATCCATTGGCTGACTCTTGCATGCCCCTAGTGGGGATTTCCCAAAACTTGGGCATGTGTCCTGACCAGGAATTGAACTGGTGACCTCTTGGTGCATGGCATGACACTCAACCACTGAGCCACATCAGCCAGGCAAGTCATGTCACTTTTCAAATTCAGCCATCATTAAGGAATTTGGATTAAATAAAAAAAAATTCCAGCAGGTATCTAGATCAACAATGGCTACTATATTAAGAATGAATGTCGGTTCTGGTTGGGTAATTAAGTTGGGTGGAGCATCAACCTGATGTGCCAAGGTTGCAGGTTTGACCCCTGATCAGGGAACATACAAGAATTAACCAATAAATGCATAAATAAGTGGAACGATAAAATGAATCTACCTCTCTCTCTCTCTTTCTCCACCCCCCCCCACCTTCATCCCTCTCTATAAAATCAACAGATAATTTTTTTTTTTTTTAAAAAAGAATGTCAGCCCTGACCGGTTTGGCTCAGTGGATAGAGCGTCGGCCTGCAGACTGAAAGGTCCCAGGTTCGATTCCAGTCAAGAGCATGTACCTTGGTTGCAGGCATATCCCCAGTGGGGGGTGTGCAGGAGGCAGCTGATTGATGTTTCTCTCTCATCGATGTTTCTAGCTCTCTATCCTTCTCCCTTCCTCTCTATAAAAAATCAATAAAAATATATTAAAAAAAAAAAGAATGTCAGAGAGGACAGACTCCTGCTAGTTTCACTTGAATACTCCATCAAAGTAAAAACGTGTTCTCTAACTTGCTGGTGAGAGCTGGTCAGGCCTCTACAATCACATGGCTGGGATATGGGCTGGGAGATACATATGTTTCTCCAAAAATGTATGTTTATTTGTATAGAAAAGAGAAAACCAAACCTTCTCTTTCTTTAAAATATCAGCAGAAATCAGATGCCATTTTTTGCCCATCTGCTCTCGAAAACTTGAAATGATGGATAATAGCCATTGTTAGAGAGGACGCCAGAATCCAGAGCTCTCATCTGTGGTCAGCAGGAGTGTAATTGACAAAGGCATTTTTGGAAACCAATTTGGCAGGATCCACCAAAGTGCACAGACACTTTGCCCAAGCAAACCCACTTCTAGGACAGTAGCCTACAAAAATGCTTGTCCAAATATATATGTACAAAAATTTTCATTATAGCGCTACAAAAGTGAAAATTTGAAAACTGCCTCATCACCCACAAGGAACCTGGCTGAG